AGAGAGAGAGAGAGAGAGGAGACACTTTTAAATTATTTTAATCGAGGAGATATTCGGGAAAAACAATGTTTTAGTGTTTTTTTTTTTAATGCTTCAGATTTTATAACATTGAACACAGTTTTATCATCACCACTTTGTATTCGTCTACCATTTTCTTTGCTTCATATATCGTTATGATAATTTTGTAAGTCATGATATAAGTAATTGTACAGTCAGTAATTGATTTCTTCTCCCATTTTTTCATTCGATTTGTCGTTCGCACCTCGTTTGTGCCATGGTGACATTTAAAAAAGTATTTTTTCCTGCACAAGGAAAGTCTCTATATATCGTTGTTAATGTCTCATAGGTAATCGTAGAGTCGAATTAAATAATTTTCTCAAAGAATGTATAGAATAAAAAGAGGGGAAAAGAAGGGGGAACAAAAAACAGAAACATTATAACAAAAGGAGTATAGGGTGTTTTACGATAACATAGAATGTTAAGAATCGTGGCCGTGTTTATTATGCAAAGGTTTTTTTTACCTTTGATCTGGCTTGTTATTATTATGATTTATATACTATAACAAAATAGGTGCACTCGTATTTGCATATACATGCATATGCATATGCGTATGCGGATCTAATTCTACACAAGTGCATATATGTATACATATAATATGAATATATAGGGTTGCGCTACGTTAAGGATGATAATGAATGATAATGAAGTATCATTGAAAAAGTATCAAAGTATTTTAGTAGCATCGCCTTGGCGCGTGCGATAGCACTATATCAGAGATATCTTTGGCCTTTTAGAACAAATATGTACTTTAATACTTATACCGAGTACTTTTTTTCATCGGCAATACGTACTGCGTGCACCTACAATTACGACTATCCATATTACATCTTATTTTTCTCCTATTAGTAGGCGGGTTGGATTTTGCTCTAAAGTGAAGCGCCCGGATTATTGTCTGTTAATATTTTATTGAATTTTAATATAGAATAAAAATATTCGTCGATACGTAACAATTAACAGAGGAAATGACAGTACTAAAGTATTATATATTATGTAGATTCTTTTAAATGAGTATATGTATAATTTGAATTTACTTTTATCTACCGTTACCCTTGTCTTTTTATTGCGTATTAACGATAGCATATGACCTCCCGATCAACTTATCATTATGTTATATGTTCGCTAAAAGTTTATGTATTATCAATCGGTGTAATTGAACTAGCAGACAAATACCTAAGCCCGTACGTTCTGAAACAATGCAAGCAATAAGTCCTCACCGAATTAACATTTTTTATGCTCTTCCTCTAGGGACAGTAGGTGCTCAGGATAATTAGTCTGCTAATTTAATGACGATGCTTTGATGGAAAATTAAAGAAAATGAAAGAACTGGTCAATAAAAATAGATTTATTTATCATACAAAAGTATACAAAGTTACACATATCTTTGAAAATGCAGCTCGATATGATTCTTGCTGTTCTATTTCTTAAAAGTTTCCTTATCCTATCATAATAAATGCGTTAAAACAATTGCTGTAATACTGAAGGTGCTAATTGTTGAAATAATGAAACTGTCAATGAGAATAAGGACATATGTATACACGACGGGAAAAAGAGATGTTGCAATAATTACCTAATTAAAAAATAAGCACAATATGTAGCAAGTGCTACCCAATGGCTAGCAAATCCCAATTGCGACCACTTGTCCATAGTGTGGGCATAGCTGTAACCGGTTTCCTGCAATTCTGACGTGTCAAATGCCAAACCTAAATAGGCTAGATGGAAAACGGATAGTGCTGAAAATCCTAGATTTGTCACGGTCACCCACCAACAATTGCTGACTGTTCGCGCGTGGGAACATTTCCGATCTGAACAACGTTTTGATGCAATGCATGCGTCGAAGGTATTGGCCAGAATGGATCTTAATTGAAACTCTACGTATGTATAGAATCCAAGGCTGAGAAGTACAGCTGCCAATTGAAAGTTTAATCCATGCAGAAGAGAGCTAGTTAAGTACGTGACTATCACAGCGCCAAATTTTCCCAAGTGCATCACACTGGGACGAAAGATATCTGTAAATTGTGAAGAAGGTATTGCGTATTGCTAGACCAGTTTTTGTTTTGTAACTTACAAGTTTTTAGCCAGAAATGCATTGGAATGTTCCAGCATACAACCACTTGGACGAGAGAGTGTGGCAACTCAATTTGGAAGGGCTTTGTTATCGTTGTCAGAGATACTGGGTGGCCTCCTAGAAGCAAAATTCCTGATGCTGTATAGGAGATGAAGTAATGTGATGCTCTGAAGGCCAATGCGTCTCGATAAGCAACAAGCCATCTGGAACAATAAGTCTTGTATGCTAGATTGCTCCAGTTAATGCTGAATCAATACTAACTTTCCAGCATTTGCTGATAGCATCCATTGTGTCCAGCAGTTTGATATACTTAGGAAGACAAATGATATTAAGAGATTACCAATGGTTGCCAATGCCCACCAGGCAGTCTGAAATGAATTAAATAGAATGAATAGAATTTTCGAAATTTTTGTATGAGCCATTAGTATTGAAGCTCAATGAATTCAACAGACCCAATGATTTCTGTGATAAAGAGCAACATAGTCTTTAAACGATATCCAAGGCCCAAAAAGACAGGTCGATGCACACAGCATATAACCAGAATATTCCCAAAGGTTGGGCCTCTTTTCAATATATATATTGTCCATGGCTACACTTACAGCTTTCATAGCTGCAACCATGATGACGCTGCGCACTTTATGCCATTCAGCTGGTTTCATCCATAATTCACTAGAAATGTCAAACTGGCAGTACCACATACACGATCTATGGTCAATACAATTTTACAGGCTACCTGTTAGAATGAATAGAGGCATACCAATAAAATATGACCAAAATACTCGGTAAAAATGCCTTTATCCCTTTATAATACTTTTCTGGTATGTACAGGCTGATATACGTTGCTGCTATTAGTATGATTATCAAGTGCAAACATTCAGGAACATAATGTTGTACCACATAGAGTCCTGTAATCGCAGAAATTCCATGGAATATCCTGCATGGTGTAAATTCTGCAAAAGAATCAATTTATACTGAAAGAAGAATCTACATTTGTACTGAAAGTATAGGATATCGTATTAGCCTTACGGGATTGTGCAAATATTTTAAATGCCAGTGATGCTACAAGCAATGGAACCATGTAGCTTGCAGCATCATACAATGTTGGTTTAAGGCAATAATGTATCAACCTTGGAATCGTTTCGCTTCCACCATCAGAATATAAATCATAGTCATATTCAAAATCATTGTCATCGGTGTATCCCTCATTATTGCATCCATTTTCGCACATTTCTTCCTCATCGTCATAGAAGGCAATAGTATCGATATCATCATCCATCTTAATGTGGATTCTGTTAGATATTATGCAAATGATATTGATTGATATAACCCTATAAATTGCGTATAATCGTACCTGAAGAATTGATGAATTCAATGATTATAAATTATTCAAACCTCATGTAGGATCTTAAAGATCAAATAACCTAACTGGCAAAGAACAAGATCCAGCGAATAAATTTTCTACAATACAAACTGAATCTCATTAATAATAGAATTTCAATTGTGTGTTTCAATTACTGTGGCAACGAATTTACGCAGCCTGCACTGTTAAATACATTGGTACCTTGTAAATTTTTAATTCAAGCTTGCTTTGATGTGTAAACAAGAAATCTTTTTTGAACTGCCGCCTCTAAGCAAATCTAGTGGCGCAATTTCAAATTAACTTTCTTACTACCCAGGTAGCAATATATGTATACCTTTCAGTAAAATCCAAAAGACAACCTAAAAACGGTGACTTATAGGTACCGATTGGACATATATGTGCTACCTGGGAATTCTCGAGAAGGAAGACAACTGAAGACAACCGTTGGCCAAAAATATGTCTCAAAGAAGAATTAAGAAACTGGGAGAAGGGATCAAAGTGGATGAAGGAAGTGGAAATGACATTAAGAAGAGTGGGGGATGGGGAAACATTGCGTGACCTGAGGGAATCTCTTCTGAGGGACCTGAGGGAACCGCGAGAACTTCTAATAAGGGTGGATTAAGGATGCAAAACAATTGAGGATCAAACGATACAGGAGGATTGGAATCGAAATTGTCGCCTCGAGGTACTGTCCAGAGGACGGCGAATGGAAAGGTGTGATATGAGAAATATTAGGGCGAGCAAAATACAAAACTTAAGGACAAAGAACAATGGGCAAGAATGAGATGCGGTAATGTGGACGAGCGGCGAACAAAAGGTACGAAGATGTTAAATGAAGATTATGTGCAGCGGAGAAAAAAAATTTGAAGTATATATTGGACTGTAAAGAATTTAAGAAAGTAGTAAAAGCGGATTTGAGGATGGAGGTGGAAGGAATTCTGAAAGGAGGAGAGGGTGCCCGAATGCAGTGAAAGCGAATTTTGGGTGGATAGGTAAGGGTGAAATTGTGCGAGCATTGCAGGATATTTGAAAGAAGTGCAAGGGCGAAGGAACAGACGGAGCTATGGGAGAGGATGTGATGGGACGGGGATAGAGCGAGTCAGTGAGGAAACCAAAGGATGTAGGGAGTTGCATTCCCAAACCTAAGTTAAGCGAAAGTTTAATATTGTTTAATGGTTCTACGATTCTTAAGCCCAAGAGGGCAAGAACGCCTAATAAAAATCTAATCTAGTGACTTATGTACTTGGCATTATAATGTAATTTCAATATTTTTTGTTACGAGAATTCACAGTAGTCCTATATTTGGCGCGTTTTTTGTTTACATAAAAGTGTTTTTGTGGAGATTTAATTCTACGACAGAATCTTTGGACAAATTAAGGGAAAAAGAAATTTATCTAACTTGAAACAACCTACCTTCTTGAAACTATCAACATTATCACAGTTAAATTTCATGTAAAACACATTTTTATTACAATATTGCAGTTAATTATAATAATTAAAGATCATAGCTGAAACAACAGTAATACCTTTGTCAGAAATTATTTAATAATAACAAAAATACATATTTTTGACAATATGGAGAATTAAAAATAGTAAGTATTACAAACATTCTTCCAAACATCCATAATCCTATATAATAAATAAACTCAGGTTGTTTTAAATTGGTCCTCTGTACAAGTTGTATAAATGTGACCTTCGCAGGCGAGGAATTCAAGAATATTATCAATTTGTGCCTTAATATTTATGGGTGCTCTTTGTTTAATTGTTTCTCTCGAAATACCACTTTCAGAATTATTTTCAGCATGAATAATTTGAAAAATAGTATGTTGCTCTGGTGTCATACCACTTATAAATTTGGCCTCTGTTTCCAATACATTTTGATTTTGTGGTACTGTGGAATCGCTTTGCTGTTCTCCAGACATTTTTTTAGCCTTTAGCATAATATATGTAACTTCCAAAAGGTGACTCGTGAGTTCATTCATGCTTTGAAGCGACCAGATTCGTAAAATCATAATGTGTGGCTGATCCCCCTGTTTACGAAGAACTCCGTAGACACGTGCATATCTATTTTCAGTAATTTTTGGTGCAGCTTTTTCATCATCTGCTTCTAACCACAAATGAGCCACTATGCTACCTATTTTGATAAAAAAAATTTAAATAAATGCAAGATCAAATAACAACCCAGCAAACACAATATTACATGTAATGCACACATTAATTGTAATGCTACTTTTTATATATTCCTAAAGAATGCAAAATAAAAAATGCTTTTTAAACGCAAATAGACGTTATTCTAGCCACTAAACAATATACACAGCACAGCACACATATCTTTTAAAGAAAATAGAAACAATGGTCCAAAAATTCCTTTGCAAAAGTCTTTTATAGCTGATACTTGAAGTGCTTAGATACATTATAAATATTTAGTTGGCCATCCTTTAGCATCAATCACTGCTTTAAGTCTTGGAGGTATGGAGTCTACGAATTTTTGAGTTGCCTGGACTAATATTTCTCTATTCTTAACAGAAAAAATGCCTTGGGATTAACAGAGAAAATGCCTTGAAGAGTTAAAACAGTAATTGATGCCAAACGACGGCCAACTAAATATCGATAATATATGTAAATACTGGAAGTGTCAGCTGTAGACAGACTTCTGTAAAAGAATTTTCAGACCTTTCATATTTTTTATTTCTATTTCCTTCAACTTAAAAAATATATGTGCTGTGCTAAATACATTGTTTAGTGGTCAGAACAGTTTATTTGCGACTAACAAGCACATATTATTTTCTGTTCTTTCGGACTATCTAAACGGTAATATTACATTTTATGCAATGTACACAGACTTTGGCAAGAAACTGTAAATGAGGGGCACATTGCACCTAATGCGTCCGTTAAAATTAATATTGTGTTTACCGGGAAAACGGTATAAGGTACGACGCATTTTAATTGTACCTGTTTCGTCTTCAATATGATAAGTTATCTTAGTTGTAACACGCTGAATTTTACGTACTATTCCAATAAACGTAAATATAGGAAGAGAATGACCCCTGATTTCCAAATCTTCTTTTAAATTATTAAGATGAACTATCATTACAGGAAAAAGTTTTTGTCCTCTTTTTGGCTCTGTCTTCCCACTTGGTTCTGCTTGACTGTTGCCAAGAAATCCACCGCCCATGCTTTGACTTGTCTCAAAATTGGACCACATAGTTATGATGCACAAATGAAGCGTTTCGTTTTTCAATGCTAAATATTATGAAAGTATACTTGCGGTACGTAAATAACGTAAGAGTAAGCTAACACAGCAAACCAGTCAAACTATAATCGAAGCTGGGGCAGAATACATTCACTTCCGTGTTAACGAATCGGCACTAATTGATCAGCCGCAATTTCCCGCCATGCATATAGGGGATTACTTATGGATAACATATTGCCAACGCCAGAAAGATATCATAAAAATGATATTGTTATAACATTATTTAGGGTATAGCCGTAATTGAACCACAGTTGCGGTTATTAAATGTCAGCCGATAACATCGATTGACTTTTGTCAGTAGTCGAAATCAATCGATGCAATTGGCTGAAATCTAAAAACCGCAACCGTGTGGTTCAATTACTGAATATACCCTTAACGCTTATGCATATGGCTTAGTTTCCACCGTAGAGAGTTTAAATAGAGTTAACCAATCAGGTATAGGAGTTGAATGGAATTAACCAATGAGGCTGCTTAACTCTATTCTAACCCTGCACGGTGGAAACTAAACCTATATTTCTACCGTGTAGGGTTGAAATAGAGTTAACTATTGGGTTGGCAACTAAGTAATTGCGGATTTCACTCATAGATGGCTTCAGTTGAATTTTTAGGTTTGCAGACGTAGTACAAATGTAAAACACATTTTGTTATTTGATAGTTGCCAATTCAGCTGTCAATCAATAAAAAAAGTTTTTTGATCGGTTGCGTAGTTTTAGTTTAGCCTTCGTTGAAAAATGGAAAATCAAAAGAAACATTTTCGTCATATTTTGCTTTTTTATTTTCGCAAAGGGAAAAACGCATCGCAAGCTCATAAAAAGTTATGTGCTGTTTATGGTGACGAAGCCTTAAAAGAACGGCAGTGTCAAAATTGGTTTCCCAAATTTCGTTCTGGTGATTTTTCACTCAAAGATGAAAAACGCTCTGGTCGTCCAGTTGAAGTTGATGACGCCCTAATCAAAGCAATAATCAATTCGGATCGTCACAGTACAACACGTGAGATTGCAGAGAAGCTTCATGTATCACATACATGCATTGAAAATCACTTAAAACAACTTGGCTAAAGAAATTAGACAATGCAGTTGAAGAAAAGCGGCCCGCATTGACAAATCGAAAAAGGGTTGTATTCCATCATGCCAATGCAAGGCCACACACATCTTTGGTCACTCGACAAAAATTATTGGAGCTTGGTTGGGATGTTTTGCCACATCCACCATATAGTCCTGACCTTGCACCATCTGATTACTTTTTGTTACGATCTTTACAAAACTCCTTGAATGATAAAAAATTCAATAATGATGATGATGTCAAATCGTACCTGATTCAGTTTTTTGCTAATAAAAACCAGAAGTTTTATGAACGTGGGATTATGATGCTGCCTGAAAGATGGCAAAAGGTCATTGATCAAAATGGGCAATACATTACAGAATAAAGTTATTTAGTTCCCTGAAAAACTGTCTTTGATTTTTTTAAAAAAATCCGCAATTACTTAGTTGCCAACCCAATAATTAAAAACGAGATTTGAGCGGAATAAGCTAACTTGATTAGTTAACTCTATTTCAACCCTGTGTGGTGGAAACATATGCATAGCCGAAATATTTATCAACGAGTTGATTAATATGTCTAAAAATTTCATTAAAAATCAGATACAGATTATATTTAATGGTGAATTATTGTTCCTCGGTATAATATTGAAATTGTTATTAACAATTACTCTATTATGGAGTCAAAAGCATTTATGGAACCTTCATGCTAAGCTCATTTTCCAAATTAATGTAGAGTCTCTATTCTAAAGACGTAAATCTGCCTAAAGATCACTCATGATATTATAATTGTATGGGTGCACTTTTCGTGCTCACTGTGCGAAGTAGCTGTCAGACACCAAACCCCATAAAATTGGCTCCCGTTTCTTCTATATTTGTGGTCTTGAGGAAAGGATAGCAGGAGGTTCACAGGCCTCAGGAAATGTTAAAAGTTGTACAATGCGCATGTCTGACAAACCGGGACGCTATTCTAGCACCACCTGGTGATAGGAGAAAGCAACGGGCGCTGCCTCATTATTTTGGTTAAGAATTTCATTCGCGGCTATCGAGAATCAGGAATCTCTGGTTTCCGTTTCGTTAATTCTGCGCGTCAAATTTTGAAGTACTTGCTAGTCGGAGATCAAGGCTGAAAACATGACCCGTAAGTGTTACGATGTGTATTAATATACGAAAAATTCGATTATCTCATTCTGTGTATATCCCCACGGACACGCACTTATGTATGTACGTAAAGGAATTACAGTTCTCTTATTTACTAATATATTGTTAGAATAGCGCTTAGCAAATTTCAATGGGTACTTTATAAAGGTTGTATGAGAATCAGTATCATTTTCCTCATGTATTCAACATTGATTAAGAGTATTACAGTTTAAGAATCATCTGAGCACATATAACGTGGCCTCCATATTTTTGAGTCGAGATCCGGACCACTTATTTTTTTCTCTGATATTATCGAAGTTTATCATAAACTCTATAACGCAGGTGCCACAATGTTTTGTGGAGCACGAATAACAGTGGCTGACTTTATTGATTAAGTTTTTTTTTATTTTAAGATTTCTGAATATTTGGTAACGGAACTTTCGTTAGAAAGTGACATTTCGAGAAAATTCTGAGAATAGCCATGGGCGCTTTGCTGTAATCCTGTTAGACTTTGTGAAACACAAAATAACAGAGTTGCTTAATACCTTCTGCGGTACCGTCGTGTCTTAATTTAGTGTATTTCACCAAAGGTATAGAAAAACAACCAATGACAAAAGAGTATTATATCTTCAGTGGTGACACAGTGATGTTTGACCATTCTTGCAGATGTGGAACCGAGCAAAATTTCTTAAGTTTTCTCTCATTCATTATTAATTGATAAAAATGGCCTTTGTAAAGAAACTGTTTGACAAAAGAAATTGTATTTCTTATAGGTGGAAACCAGCGTGAATTGGCTCGTGCCAAAAACATGAAGAAAAATCAAAAAAAGGCAGCAGGGGAGCAAGATAGTAACAAAGGACTCACCCTGGAACAACGTAAAGCGCGGTAAAGATAAATGAAAAATGGAGAGAACCAAAATAGCAAAAATGTAAAATATATTTTTAGTTGATATGGTGTCTATTGAGTAAATACTATTTCTAATTTTATAGAGATGCTGACCGAATGCGAGAAAAACAACAAAAAAAACAACAAGAACAACAAGACAAGACAAAGCAGAGGATCAGTTAATTTAGGCTGGAAATTCTCTGAATCTTTTGCCATTAATACCAGAGTTAAAAAAATTATCTCTTTAAATAATAATGATTGAGGAGCACTGTTACTATCTTCACTGTGCGTGAAAAGAAGAAATTAAATATTTATAATTTTAGTGAATTTATGAGTTGAGATCCTCCGATTTAAAACACACAGGATAAAATGCTGCATGGTCTCTAGCTATTTATGATCCTACCACACACCAATGTCGCATTATTTATCTACCGTGTGACCACGAAAATGTAATAGCGAGCGTGTATAAAACTGTTGTTACCTATAAACGGAATGGTAAATGATAAAAAGGCATTTGACTCCTATATCTAGGTATAAGTATACTAAATGATCATTTTGAATGTGTAAATTGGAAAATTCCTGTTATTTAAAATATTGTACAATTGAAACGAATGGAGTATAACGAATGTGAAAGTCATGTACTTTGGTCAGCTTATAATAAATCGTTCAAATTTTAATACAAACATAGAATCTGTCTCTCAAGCTATTCATAGTCTTGTCTAACATACCTCTAGTACAGGATGAATAATTTGACTCCAAGTTTATCATCTAAATTAACTATGTTAGACTCTACATCCTCTATTTACCAAGAATATCCACATAGAAAATAGAGTTATACCTAATATAATAATATATTTGGCAGGATGTTACAAAGTAAGATCCAGCATGACAGTTATTTCCCATATTTTTATTGCACTTTCCCAAAAAAAAAAAGAGTACATTTTCAACACACTTGTTACTTGCAATTGTCAGGCTTCAGTATTAATACGATTACCGTTAGTCTACAGAACATATGAGGATTATTTAGAAGATTATTGAAGAAATCACGTGTGAGAAACATACTACATACGTGACCGACGATAGCCGCTTTCGGCGCGTCTCATCAACTTCATCAACTCATATGAGTAGAACAAGTAATAATGAACGTGGTGGAAGACCAAATCTCTTTTTTTTTCTCTTTCACTCATTCTCTCTCTCTCTCTCTCTCTCTCTCTCTCTCTCTCTCTCTCTCTCTCTCTCTCTCTCTACACATTTTCTAAGAAAATTCACTCTCGGTCGCTCCTGAGCTGCACACCAGCTAACAATTCGTTCAACCAAGTAGGAACAATATTCTAACAAAGTCGAGCGCCATACGTTTAGAATTAGTGTATGGTGTCTGCCCGAAGATTGGTGGTCCAGCAACTGTCTATCTATCTCTTTTTTTCATTCTACGTTATTAACATGGGAAAGAAGATATAAAAAAGTGAATTAACGTTACTTTAAAAATTGAAAATATTGTCTAGCCTCTAAAGACCAAAACCCTTATCATAGTCTTCTTATTTTTAAATATTACGAGTAATTCGCTTCATTACTAGTTATCTTCAAGTATCATCGTTATAATTACATTAGGTAGTGTTGGCATATATCTTGTCTTTTATCAATCATAATATTGTTATTTCACTTCTAAATTATTCATTACCGTCACTGCACATTAATGACGTAAAACTCATTATTACAAGCATGTGTATTAATTCCCTGTGTCTTATTATCCTTGGGCAAATTTTTAACGGTGTAAATTTCATTCATTCGCAACATTAAAAAATTCATTGTACCAAAAATGACGTACGTCTATGAGAATGAAAAGATTAATGAAAAACATTATCTTCTCGTATACTGCGTTTATCCTTAGTGTATCCTGCGTCGTATCTATTAAACGATATTAAGGCATTACTCGCGAATGAAAAATCACGATACCATCGTAATGAACGACCGAGTCCTTCCTCAAGCTTCTACTGTCACTCATTGTTTCTTTTATTTATTTCCTATCGCTTGCACTCTTTACCTCTGTCTCTCTCTCTCTCTCTCTCTACACATTTTCTAAGAAAATTCACTCTCGGTCGCTCCTGAGCTGCACACCAGCTAACAATTCGTTCAACCAAGTAGGAACAATATTCTAACAAAGTCGAGCGCCATACGTTTAGAATTAGTGTATGGTGTCTGCCCGAAGATTGGTGGTCCAGCAACTGTATACGGTGGGACCAGGATGAAGTAGTCGAGAAAGAATACTAAGGTAGTCACTTATACTAACTAGGTGGGAGGAGGCATTTGAAGTAATCAAAGGTCACATGCCCATAGATAAAACTTCATCTTGGCTCTGGACCTTGCAATGCAAATGAAGAATATTCAAAATCAAGATGAAGCAAATTATACTAATGGCACTCTAATGTTTTTCGTATCCATTCTAATTGAGCACCAATAGACTTATATATCCTACGTCAGTGTTTTGTCCTCCTTAAGAAGAAGAAAAAAAAAAAGATAATCATAACCAGAAGAATATCGTATATCGCTTTTCTAACTGTACAGGAGAAATGGACGAATAGTTTAAATTACTCCTATAGACGATTCCCTTAAATATGAATATTGGCGTCGTCGCGTTACCTAACTCGATCAATGGGCGGCAGAATCGAAAGACTTTCCTAAAGTTGTTGTCCATTATCGTATACTTATCCATGTGATTTATAGCAATTGATGAGTTAATGCTTCTTACAATCGTCGGACACGCAATCGTAATTTTATAATAATACCGGTACATTATGGCGTAATTATTGCTTAAATCTATTTCGATGATGTAATATTGTTTCCCCGCCGTATTCTCTTTCTTCTTTTTTAATCTACTCTGTTTCTCATCATTGGTGCCAATAGGAAGTGCAATGCACTTCGTGTTAGGACAATAGCTCGCTATCTAGTTGAATCGTAACTCGTTAAATTAGCACCATCTCTGTATTGTTCGTAGGTTAATTAACGCTTTCGTTGAATAAAACAAGAAGACGAGTTCAAAGTGCGAGAACTTATTTATCACATTCTTACGTACCTACGTAGGTGCATATACCTGTTTGCTACACGCTTAACTTTTATCGTGAAACTTCGATAACTGACGTGGGAAAGGTTCCGCACCATAGTTATCAGTAGATACGCCAAAAATTCAGGAATGATAGATGAGGAACATGAAACTGTCGTTTTCATAGATTTTGGAAATCGAGTGGAATGTATGGACCGCCCTTGACGAGTCGCATGTTCAATGGAAAGTGCTTACAGACAGGATCATTCACTAATATAGTAACGAGTCAATTTTATCGTGGCCCGATTTTTAAATACAATGAAAGTCCAAAATTTGGAGAAAAAAATTTGTCCATATATCTTTGATATATGCACCCTCCGTTTCCGCGGATGTGTCCGATAATCGAACAACTATTGCACTATAGGAAAATGAAGGACTCACAGAAGGAGGATGGCTCTTTGACAGGAAGGACTCTCTTTTGGAGAGAGAGAAAAAAACCAGTAGGTCATGAGGTCGAAGTGCTCGAAGACGGCGAGAATAGGTCGGCTATTGGCTATTGGCTATTGGCTATTGGCTATTGGCTAATTCTAATTGAGCCATCAGTATATAAATAACGTGGTTTCCTGATGGATAGTTGACGACGGACGATATATCGGGCTACTTATAGATTCAAGGAGCATATTGTGCAAGTTTGTGCGATGCAGTGTGCATGAAGATGCGGAGGGTGTGACTGCGGAGGTGGCGGAGGTGGCGGAGGTGGCGGCATGTAGAGCCACCCAGCTCCGGACGGCCAGACCGTTGGTCTTGTCGGCGTCACCGGGAGTAACGAGTTGGAGCCGCTGTTCGTCGTGACATGCGAAGACGGTCCACCCTCTACTCACATCACCTGCGTAACAAGATACAGAACAATTGTATTAGAATGTTCTTTTACACCAAGTACAGCCATCCAGTCGGAATTCCATCGCGTTACTGAAATCCTGACAGGTCTGGCGATGGGTCGTTAAGCGAGAAAATGAGATGGTTGGAATTCGGGAGGATGCTTTGGGAAATTATATTTAGCGTAAGAAGAATATAAGTAGGAGTAAGGAGGGTGTAACCGGGAGGTCAGTCATTTGTTTCCTTTCTAGCAGGAAACAATAAAAACTCTTCGAAGAAGATATACCATATCTTCGTCGTAGTTGAAACATGATGCTGCTCATGCCCTATAGTCTGAAAGCAGTATAAGGATCTGTACCTGAAGTATCTGGCTGGCTTCGAACGCCGTTCCTGGCACGAGAATTACAGGACTACTGACGTGTCCACTTTCCACACATATCATATTGGGAAACTCATCGTCGCCAAAGTCCGGTATGTCGCGCGCCTTGTCCTGCCAAGGATTCCAGACGACGGTGTCGGGGAAATTGTACTTCTGAACGCGCATCTTCCTACCGGAAACGACGTTCGTGATGATGTGCTCAGGCTGCGTGTTCTGGTAGATTCTGTCTGTCCACTCGCAGACCGTCACCACGTCCCGACCCTCTTGAAAGATTTGGTTGTCCCGTGTCTGTGGCGTCGTGACGCAATTAGTATCCATCAGTGAATCAGGTCGTGGAATTAAGAGTAGGATGACAGGATCGTTATCACGATCACAGATGATAATACAAGGGTCAGGTACCTTATCTATAAAGGTACATCCGTGTAGTCCGGTGACCTGGCATCTCCTGACGTCTGGCACTTTAAAATACGTGTGCAGGAGAAGATTGAAACTGAAGGTATGATCCTTGCTGGGATTATAGACGCCAATGTTGAAGTGTAACTCCTTTTCTCGAAGAATTAGCCTGTAAGTTAATCTGAAGGGATAATTCCACATGGAACGGGTGAACTCGCTGTCCATTATGGAAAAAATGGCTTCGACGTCTCCACTGGGAAGACGTTCGGGTGATTTTTCAACGTTCCAACGGATGATCCGTGCGAATCCATGTCCTGGGCCAAAGGTCCACGCACCGAATTGTGCTAAAATACAAAAAGAAAAAGAAAATAGGAAATAATAAGGCTCAGCATCCTCGAAGATTCCGAAATATCCAGATTCGCAAATTCGAAATGTCAATGTCTCTCAATCTCCAGCCCTCCTAAAGCGTACTTTGTGATTTATTTCATTTACTTACGGAAGACAAATGGAATTCCTCCCCTAATGGCCTTCTTGCCATCGAAGACGGCCTGCTTGCTGAAACAGAGAAAGGACCAGTCACTCCCCAGACTGGATATTCGATATCCAGGCAAACGTTTGACGTCGCCCCCCGGCTACTCCGGGCTACCCCGGGCTACCCCAGCCAGCTGGTCATTCAATATTTGCATGCTACTCGCATTATCCCAGGGACCATTTACCTTGAGCCATAATCGCACAAACTGCCAATAACTCGAGCGGTGATTAAAATCAGTCCATATATCTATATTGGCAGACGTTCATTGTCAAGGAGAATGGTCACCTTCTCATATACGGGCAAGAGTCAGAAAATGGACGGATACCCTTGAAATCGGGCATCTAACTTCAAGTTCGACTCTAACGTCGTTAGTCCCGAGCATTCGCTCGAGGGCAAAACTTTTAAGATTCCTACGACAATGGCGAACAGGTGGTGTGTCTAATGGGTTCCCCGATCTCCCTACTCTGCACGCTCTGGCACTAAACTCTCGGCGGCCACTCCTGCTGTCGTTGCTGCTGCCCAGAATCCCTACATCCAGACTCCTCGCTCATCTCGTCTCGTCCCATCTGATCTTATGGATTCCCCCCCCCCT